CACAAATCCCGCTATCTCGTGAGGTGTCTGCATTCGTGCAGCCGTATGCACTTCGTCAACGTACCATCCGACAACGGCGCGACGCTCAGAGCACGAACACCATCACAAGTGTATCAAGGCGCCATCTTTCGGCCCGGCAACAAATCAACCGCGCTGAGACGACTGACCACCCGACGTACGGCAGAAGCGGACACCCCATCACCACTGAGCAAACGCGAGACGTAGCCCCCCCCTCCCGGATTATGTGTGCTGCACGCGCCGCCGTCGACTCACCGAGATGACCTTCTCGGAGACGGCCTCGCCGAACCTGCCAGCGCGCTTCTTCAGCTTATCCAGCTCGGAGGCGCCGGAGCCGTTCTTCTGGCCACCGGCATCAGCCTGCTGCGGCGCGCCGAACTTGGCCAGCCGCGCAGCCTTCCTCTCCTCGGGCGTGAGCACCTTGAGCGCGGAGACGGTCGGCTTCGCGCCGCCCAGCTTCTCGGACCGCTTGGCCAGTCGCTGTCGGCGGCGGGTCGGCGGGTCAGCTGACGGCACCGAGGCCATGTAGACCATGGTCGGGCAACTCGGACTGGGCTCGCGGTTGACAGTGTTAAAACCGCGAGCTACTCGTTCGACACTGTAGGACACAATTGGTTTTAATCGAACAGCAATACGCTGCTCAACACGCATCAAAACTTCGTGTTGTTGACACAAAGGTGCTCTCGGCTCATCGCGAATCCTTGCTGCCAACACTTAGCTCAGGGTTTATGACAGTGTGTGGTAACTGTGATAACAATGGTCCTACGCAGCGAACGCGAGTATCGGCCGCGTAACACGAAACGCGCACGACAACGTTTAAACATCAGAGGACCAGGACTCGCATTAGCAGGTCATATATGCTGCATGTAATGAGTGCCATAGGATCAAATACATCAGCCGGAACGACTGTCGACAAAATCCTACTGCAGCCTTCAACTCCGCTGATGAGCAAGGATCCGGCACCAGAATCAGATAATCAAATATATCAGATGCAACGACTGTAGACAAAATCCTACTGCAGTCCTCAACTCCGCTGATGAGCAATGATCCGGCGCCAGGATCAGCTAACACATTCCGGGATGAAACTACCTGCTCCGCTTTTTGCCCGAATGCATTGCGCAGCGTCCTCCCCGCCTCCCAAGAACCAACCCCCACATCTGATCACTGCAATCATTTTTCCCTCTCACACACCTTAACCAGCGTCCTCAGGACCCCCCCCCCCCCCCCCCCGTCGTCTACCCCCGCCCGCTCCGCCGCCGCACCTCCATTTCGGAGAGACCACTGGTGGTCAGCTTGATCCGCTTGCTGGCAGGCGCGTCCGCCGCTGCCGCCGCGGCCGTGGCGGCGGCCGGCGGCGCCGCCTTGGTGGCCTGCGCGATGGCCGTAGCAGCCGCCTGCTGCGCCGAGGCCGCCGCCTCGCGGTTGATCACGATCTTCCTCGGCTTGGCCGCCGGCGTCGCGGTCTCCAGCAGCTTGGTGTCCAGCTCGGCCGGCTGAGGGCAGCAACAGCAGCAGTGACGTGGGAGGTCCACTTGCAGCCCACTCCCGAAGGCAGCTCGAGAGACTCCAGCCGTGCCAGCGACTCGCACTCCGACGGTGTCGTGATTAGCAACAGACAAACAAGAGGGTGCATAGGAAGCAAGGAGACAGCACAACACAGAAAGCTTGGCAATGACAATGGCAGATCCAATGACACATCGACTTGGAACAGAGCACAGGAGTCCATGCGATGTGCGCGTATGAGATGCGCGGCGCGAATGAGCCAAAAATACATACAACTTTGATGGTTTGGTCTCAAACAGAACAGAACCAGTGCTGAATACAAATCAGAAGTCCTTCAAGAAGATGCAAGTTTGTCATGGTAATTGTTAAGCACAGTGAGACTATAGAAAAGCCTTGCAACATACAAGCAAAATAAGATGGAAGACAAAGATCTGGTGCCAGGACCTACCGAGTTGCTGTCTTCATCCTCTTCCTCTCCCAGGAGTTCAGACTCCTTGGCATCAAGGTCTTCCTCCTGATGAGATGAATCTGAAAGCAAGAGCATTGCATTTTGATGGCTTGTAATGGAATATATGCCTCATTCTAACCACATACTAGAAATATGCATAGTAATAACAATAACTGAAGTCATAATATCATACCAAGTAACACATATCAAGTATCCCCAAAAAGAAACCATGTTTCTTCTAACACATGTTGGTTCAATTTGGATAGTGCCAAAATTGCAAAATAGCTGGGGAATTCAGTTTTGCATTTGTGCTTACATTTTCACAAACAACAATCAGCATGTTTATTTTGTTAGCTGATTAGTGACACAACTACAAGTGGCCCTTCCAAATTATCATGTGCCTCAGGTGTAAAATGGACTACTTATAGCACATCAGCATACATAACAGTTT